AAAATTATTTCAGCTAGTGAAACCAAACCAAATCTTAGGACTGCAACATTCAAAAACAAACATCTGTCCTAAATATTGCCTTGAAAGCTTTTTACCCTGAATTCTCTTAATTCTGATTGTCATAAGCAATTAAGTAACAATTAAGGCACCCCACCATCTGTGCCGCACATGTGTTGGAAACTCACTAAGCTTAAAATTGAGTTTCATGTTATTTCACACACCAATTATTCACCAGCTCCTAATTAGAGCCAATGAAAGTGCATTGAAACTACATTCAAGGTTAAACTGCTTAAAATAATAACTTAAAAGTGCTTTTTTAATTGTAAACATATGTAATACTTGTAATGTAAAATATCTAATAACTACAAGGTGTTTTATGTAAAAAAAAAAAAAAAAAGTTCTTCCTTGATGAACTACATTCAACAGGTTCATGTTGAACTTTTTTTTTGTTGTAATCACCTATTTTATAAGCATAAGCCAGTTTTTTTCTGGCAATGCTACCGATGACCAGAGCAAGCAGACTTCCCATTGCCCGGAATCTGACTAAACAGGGGGACTTGGTGTGTATAAGTACTCTTAACTAATTCATACTCCGCTATACTATCAAATTTTGTATCCATCTAGAATGTAACATGGCAAAATTAATGTGTTTACTAAACACATTTGTGCTCTGTCCGTTTTACTGCATGGCAAAAGATTCTGAGCTGTTCTTTTAGTGACCTGAGTAACTATTGTGCCTGCCTTGGTATATACAATGCTCGTTACAAGAAGATGTAAGAAGATAGGGGCACATGTAAGATAGACATGTAAATTCTACACTGATTTACATGCTGCAACAACCAAACTCACATGTTGTTTGGAAACTGAGCACATGTATGTTCAAATTAATTACTGCAGTAAAGAAGTCACAACTGTGAACTGTGAAAAAACATATAAAAATATTAACTGCACCTTTATACTAATAAAAATTTGTTGATGTGAAAAAAACACATTTTATTTGAACTATAGCTGCTGTCACACTTTTTGAATCCCTAAAACATCCATTCTTATACCTTTTTCTTTTAGGTCATCCCCTTGTCTGCCATCTACCACATATACATGTTGCATAAAATAATAGTTTTGTTAAAGGAAAAAAAAGGATTGTCTAAGAGACGAATAAATATTTAAAGCATATTAAAAGCATGTTAAAATATTTAAAAGGGTTAGCGAAACGTGAAGACAACAGGCATGCTTTCCTTGGCAACACGTCCATAATATGTTCATTTAACTGGGCATAGGGAAAAATAAACTCACATTAAACTTAGTACAAGACGTATGCAGTGACATCTTTTAAATGTACAATGACCCTCATGGACATACTGTAAAAGGGTAGGCAGATTCACTGGCAGCTTATCTCAGGAAAAACGACCTCCAAAATGATTAAATATTGCAATGATCATTTACATGGAGAGGTGTGGCACACATCACTAACCCAAATCATCTGACAATGATCATTTACCACCTACACACAGCCACATGCCAACTTCTCACCTGCTAGGCACTGGGCTTACATCCAGGTTTCCTTGCAAGAGGCAATGATGAATTGTACCACAATCAAAAGGTAGGCTAGAGGGAGCTTACTGACAGATATTGCACTTCATAGAGATTAGTGAATCAGAAAAGCATAACATTGAGCTGGTCTAAGATAAGGTTACAAAAAATGTTCCAGTGTGAGTTTAGCTTTCTTCCTGTTCAGTTCAGGAAAATGTAGTCTTGCTATGTGGTTTAAATTAATGTTTAGACAGAATACAAAAGATTTGTTGAAGGTGGCTAAGCCATGTTATGGCCAGCTGCAGGAACCAATGATATACGGTATGTTTAAAATTTTACAACCCTTTTTTTTTTTAAATGCATAAATGAATGCTTGACATGCATGTTTTGCAGTGGTTTACCACAGGTTTAATATATACCTTTTAACATAAATGCAAATAGCACATGCTGGAATTAATGCATAACATGAATCAAATACAAATAAAAAGGCATGCCTTCTGTATTTTCTTTTGTAAAAACTCAATAAATACATATTAAAAAAATACAAAAATCCATGCCTACGGTAAGACTAGAGTCTACATTTTTGTACAAAACTCTTTAATAGGATCCTTTTCTCATCTGTTTATTTGAGGGTTTTAAATAATATAACTTCAGACTCCATCATTTTACCATAGTATGAAAAGGAAAGGTCAATTGGGCAGCTAAAAATGTTTGTGAACCTTCACTAGAAGCATTGTCATATTTCTAGATGTAATTCCGATACCAAAAAGCTCCAGAAATTATGTTTCAGAAACATTCGGAGATGGAAACTCCCTTTACCAGAAGGTAGGCAAATGTTGTCAAGTGCCGGATCTAGAAACTTACAGCTGTAAGCCCCCCAGGGAATGCTCAATTTTAGCTGATGTTTATGCAATCCATTCGTCTCAGTCAATGATGCAGACACTCACATTATTGTGTTTTCAAACTGGATAATGATGTGAATGCCTGTCAGTCATATGTTGGAAGATTCTTAACTTACAACTCCTATTGTCTGCATTTTTTTCATTCAGCATTAGACATTATATTTATGATGTGTAGCACATTCCCTGGAGCTTAGAAAACAATGTTGTCTTAGCTTTTTATATTCTGTATAACAACTGCATTAACCAGTTGCCGTCCGCCCGTAGTAGAAAAACGGACGGACGGCACTGTCACAGAATGTTTTTCAGGTGCTTATATGGCTTGATTAAAGGAATCTTTCATTATAAAACAAAAACAACCTAATGGTATTTGCTAGTGTCCAGAAAAGACCTGTGTGCAGAAATGATTTTGTTTGAAATTAAAAATTAAACTGTGTGCTTTCTATTGTTTATTTTTTTCAATATTAAAAAGGTATTCATTAAGTTCTGTAGAGGTCAGGCAAGAAAGCGTTGTGCTACGCCACAGATGCTTGCTTAAGATGACAAGACACAGTGTTTGTATACCACACCCTGCTAACGCTTAGGAAACTCTCACATAATATAATATCAGAGTTGGTAACTGGGGACAAAGAGAAGGCAAATCTATTAAATACTTTCTTCAGCTCTGTGCACACCAAGGAATAGGATGTAACTCAAGTCCATAATGGGGATAGCAGTGCCACAGCCTCTATGGAACCACAATGGCTGACTATTGATATGGTCCAGAAACAGTTAGACAAAATTGAGGTGAACAACGCATCCACGTGTCCTCAAAGAATTGAGTTGCATAATTTCAAAGCCATAGTATCTAATTTTTAGAGACTCTCTAATGACTGGCTTGGTACTGATGGATTGGTGCACGGCCAATGTGGTGCCTATATTTAAAAAGGGATCAAAGTCTACACCGAGTAATTACAGACTTGTAAGCTTAACTCCAATTGTTGGGAAGATACTTGAAAGTTTGATCAAGGCTCACATGGAATTGTTTTTGCTTGAAAATAATATCATCAGTGATAGTTAGCACAGATTCACAAAAGACAGAAGTTGTCAAACAAACCTACTTTCTTTTTATGAGGAAGTCAGTAATAAATTGGACAGAGGAATGGCTGTGGATATAGTATACTTGGACTTTGCAAAAGCGTTTGACACCGTTCCCCACAGGCGGCTAATGTATTAGTTAAGGTCAGTAGGTATAGAGCATTCCATCTGTAATTGGGTAGAAAACTGGCTTAAAGACCATATTCGGAGAGTGGTGATCAATGATTTATACTCGGAATGGTCTGGGGTTGTTAGTGGTGTCCCCCAAAGGTTCAGTGTCGGGTCCCTTACCGTTTAACCTATTTATAAATGACAGAATTGGGGATTGAAAGTACTATTTCTGTGTTTGCAGATGACACCAAGTTATGTAGTGGAATACAGTCCTTACAGGATGTCTCCAACTTACAGGCAGATCTGAATGCTCTGTGTGATTGGCATTTATTTGGCAAATGAGGTTTAATGTTGATAAATGTAAAGTTATGCACTTGTGGACTAAAAACATGCATGCTTCATACACTCTAGGGGGAGTATGTTTGGGGGAGTCAATGATGGAGAAAGATCTGGGTGTTCTGGTAGATTATAGACTGAATAATAGCATGCAATGTATTCTTGTATTATATGGGGTCTAGACTCCAGAGATAGAGACATCATCCTACCCCTGTACAAAGCATTAGTAAGACCTCATGTGGAATATGAGGAGGAGCTCAGGTATGAGGAAAGATTAACTGACCTGAATTTGTTCTATCTGGAGAAGAGGCGATTAAGGGGGGGAACATGATCACCATGTATAAATACATAAATGGTCCATATAGTGAGCTTGGTGCCAAACTATTCACTTTAAGGTCATTGCAAAGGACAAGCGGGCAGTCTGCATCTGGAGGAAAGGAGGTTTAACCTTTGCAAATGGAAAGGATTCTTCACAGTTAGAGCTGTGAAAATGTGGAATGGGCTCCCATAGGAGCTAGTTCTAGCTAGTTCAGTTAACTGTTTTAAAAACAATCTGGGTGTATTCCTAATTGCACAGAATATTACTGGATATTGAATTCTTATAGGTGTATAAGGCATCAGAGATTGTTGATCCAGGGAATATCCGATTACCTTATGGGATCAGGAAGGAATTCCCCCCCCCCCCCCCCCCCCAACCTCCATTGGAGCAAATTGAACCATGCTTTATAGTGTTTTTTGCCTTCCTTTGGATCAACAGTGTGTAACTGTGGACATAGCATTATGGTTTTTTTTTTTATTATCTCTATAAGTTGAACTCCATGGACTTGTGTCTTTTTTCAACCTGACTATGTAACTATCTGTGTGTACATTTGAATTATAAAACGTTGTACTTGTGGTCAATTTCTGCTCAATAGGCATTGATAACTGAGGATACACAACACTATATATTATAGCACAACAAATAATGGGGAGCATTTAGAACATATATTTAGCAAGAGAACATACTTTACGAATAAAAACATTCTCACAATACTTTTAAATACTTACAACTATATCTTCAGGGAATGTATCTTTACTAATAGAGCCATCATCAAATTCAACTTCATAGAATGTCTGAGAAGTGATCTCAGCAACCTTGCAACTGTAGTATCTTGTGTTCCTGTGTTTTGCAATGACAATCTGTCCAATGCTTAGCTTCTTCACTGTTGTTTTGCTCCTCTGAAACCGACAAATAACAGACAAGAAAATCATTAGAGCATTTAGGAAGTAGCAGACATAACTACATCACTGTGTTTAGCACAAAAAGGGTCACATAAAAACTTCTGCATAATAAGGGAAAGAGCAATGTGCCCAGAATAAGAATCTAAGCAGGTTAGAAAACATCAACACCCACCAACTCTTTGAGGACAGAAGGGCCTGCTTTCTAAATATGACTTTTCAGTTAAATGCTGAAACATTTGCAAACTGTTATCATGGTGCCTTTTTTTACAGTCAGACCCGATTATACTGCCTCTTACAAGGCAGTGGTGTATTTTGGTTTTGTGCTGCCCTAGGCAAGACTAAACCCGAGCGCCCTCTCACCCCTAATCTAAGTTAGTCCCACCCCTTCCTGTGTATTACAATTTGAATAACCTGTCAGTCGCAGGATACATTGCGCACGGTTCTGACAGGTTGCGCTATCAACCTAGCAGGACGCTCTAGTTCTACCTTTGCAATAGCCACCTTCTCCATTTCTGGCTTAATGGGCTCCCTAGTTCTGCAGCTACAATAACCATTCTCTCCTGCCCTGCCATGCTGTGCTAGTCTCTAGTTCTGCAGCCACAACACCGATCATCTGCCTTAATATGCTGGGCTGTCTATTTCTGCAGTTACCCATCTTCTGCCTTGGCCGCTGGGCTCTGTAGCTTGCCCCGCTCTAGAGATATAACCCTGCACAGAGCTTTTAGGCTGCACTTCCCCGGACTCACCACTACGGGGGTGCCGATGAGCATGATGACCATCTGTATCTCAGCCCTGGGGTCCTGCGGAAGCTCCTCCGCTGCCTGAAGTAAAAGATTTGGGTGCTGGTTTCCCAGGGAGGTCCGGCGCACGAACTGCCAATGCAACCGGACGAAAGTCAAACACACCAATGCATTGCCCAGCACAGTGACCAGGAAGAGGAAGGAGCTGCAGCCGCCATATATGTAGGCAGCATTAGTGGACAAATTTGTCTCCCAGTCAAAGAAGCACAAGGTCCAGGAGTATTGCCAGTAATTTATGAATATTGTATAATATAATTTTTTTTTTCTCTTACCTAACTGGTTTGGGGGACAGCATTTTTTGGCGCCCCCATGGAAAGTGCCACCCTAGGCAAATGCCTAGTTTGCCTTGCAGTAGATACACCCCTGGGTACACATGGTATTCAAATAAGCTAAATACATCTTTACTTTGAAGAGGCTTATAGAACAAGGTAACACATTTGATATAGCCAATAGGTGAACAAGCATTTATGGTTCCTGCACTTTGGCCACGTCAGAACAATTGAGCAAGACAATGTGGTATTAGAGACTCGGCAGAATGTATCCGAACAGCAATACAAGTTACACCACACTAATCAGTTTATAAGGATCAGTGACATGTCATAGCAATATCTCAAAAACTTTGATATCACTGACCAACAAGAACAGTTTATGTAGTAAGGTCAGTTTTCAATACCTGGAAATGTATCGACTAAAAATACCACCTTTGCAGCAAACAAAAAGTCTTTATAATTCAAATAAAAGTGAACTACATTCATTTTGCTGAATTATTTATTCATTGTTATAAAATGAAAAAGATAGCAGCAAAAGAGCATGACAACAGAACTCAGTCTTCAGAAAACTAATATCTCTCCATAAAATTGCCAAACTACAGAATTTTACCTTTTGTAAATTGGCCCTATGATTCTCTGACATTACTTCTGTAATGAAACTTGAAATATACATTTACATATACATGAAATATACATTACTACTAGTAACCCCATGTCACTGCTTTGTGTACTCTGTCAAAAAGACAAGACCTGTTATCCAAAAATTAGCATGTGTTTAGTATGCAATAAAAATGTAAACATGTAATCTTTTCCAACCATGCCATCTATTGGACTTTCAATGCAAGTAATATGGTTAGGTCTAGCTGCAGTAAAATATCGTTATTTCCAACATTATGTTAAGACTGGTTATGTGCAAGATGACATACTGACAGAAACACTTTTTAATTTACTTTCAAACCTGAGAAAAAAATACTTCTGTCAGAAGAAAGTATAATGGAGAGGTTTAAAAAAGCCACTTTTGATTAGGAAGATGGTAGCTATGTCCTGATAATACAAAAGAAGGGTTGGAATTTAATCCTCTAAAAATAATATTAAAAATACTGGGAGACGTTTTAAAACATATTGTGCCATTTTTGGTAAGCACACTAGGTACACAGGAGGTAACTTTTCAAGAGGTCTAGGATAACTCTTTACGTCCACTCCTTCCTATTTATCCACAATGTTCTGTCATTATACAGCTGCTCTTCACCCAAGGGTTGTTGGGTGAAAGACCAGGGCGTAATGGGCATACAACAGATTGGTCGTGGACCTCTTGCGCCATATCCTGACTAAGAATGTCTTCATTTTCAAAGAGACGCATTACCTCCAGGTACAGGGGGTGGCGATGGGGACTTGTTGTGCCCCGTCCTATGCGAACCTGCACCTGGGGGGATGGGAGCGCAGTCTGTTTTCCAACGAAACAATACAGGATTGGCTTGATGACATCTCTCTGTGGCGACGCTACATCGATGATGTTTTTTTCATCTGGACCGGGACCCTATGTGACCTTGAGAAATTTGTGGCCTCTTTGGCCACCAATGATTTCAATCTTAGATTTACCACCAATCATAACCAAAAAGAGATTGCATTCCTAGATGTCACCATTGCGACAAGGGATGACAATTACCTTATGACCAAATTATATCGCAAAGAAACAGCGGGAAATTCAATTCTGCACGCCACTAGTTCACACCCACGCTTTCTAAAGAATAATCTCCCATACAGCCAATACCTCCGACTAAAACGGAACTGCTCAATGGACAGTGACTTCCAAAAGGAAGCGGGGGCTTTACAAACCCGCCTGTTAGAGAGGGGCTATAACAAAAAGGTGCTTATAAAAGCCTATAATCGGGTACAAAAGAAAGACAAATACTATATGGAAATAAAAAATCCACATATAAGAACAGGGTATCACAGAAGCAAACGGTCAAAATGGTTACAAAATTTTCTAGGCACCATGCCGTCATTAGAAACTGTATCAAACGTCACTGGCATTTCTGGACTGATGATGATACTATAAAAAAAGCACATCAAGGATACTCCAGAAATAGTATTTAGGAGAGCAAGGTCCATACGACATAGGGTCACCCGCAGCTTTTAGGCCCGACTTTCCCAGGGCTCAGCCTGTGGGGAGGAGGGGTTTATTAGGTGCGGACACTGTAGCTACTGTAGGTGGTTTGTGGTGAGAAATATAGTCCCCCCTACCGAACAACCAGCAGTGGAAATTGAGCCATACAATCAACTGTCATACCACAAATGTGATCTACTTGATGAAATGTATATGTGGGGCCTTGTATATAGGGAAAACTTAGAGACCTGTATGGAAGAGGATTTATGACCATCTCTACTTAATACAAAGTGGCAAGCTAGTTTCCCCCATCAGTCGGCATGTGGGACTATGCCATAATTTTGACGTATCGGTTATTCGGTTCCACATCCTGGCCATATACATGAAGACATGAGGGTAGGGGACGTGGACCAAAGATTGTTACAAACTGAGACCTGGTGGATATATAAATTGAGGTCCACCACCCCTCCAGGTCTACATGAGGTGCTTAGTTATAAGCCATTCCTGTAAGGCCAAGGCCCCCGATAAGATCAATGTTGCCGAACAATAATAGAATACCAAGGGTGTGAAAGAATAAAGGTTGCTTGTTTTAGATAACCGGCTATGGGGGATGGTCTCATGGGCCGGGCAAAACTAGCAATTAAACCATGACAAGTTGGATGTTCCTCAAACAAATGTAATTCATGGAATATGCTTAATTGGATTAATGTATGTATTGATAATCGATCATGTTTGTTTTTTTCAATATTGTATACTTCATATATGATGAAATGATATAATCTGATATAAATGTATGTTGAAATGATATAATACAATAGGGAATAACTCACAATAATGAAGGGCTAGAGAGGAATGTGCAAATATGGCGGCTGTTCCGTGTAGACGGAGACCCCTCGGGACCGTCCCCTTTCCGTTCCCCCTTTTTCCCCTCCCCCACCCCCTAAACATTATCTAGGGGGGTTGGCCTCCGATATCAAGGCAGGGAGTCAAGTACATTGGGGACCTTTGGACTTCAATCTGGACACCCACGTAAATAATTAGAACGCACATCAGAGAAGAGACCCAAGAAGCGAGGAATGGATCAACTTAAAATTGACATTTTCGGCCACCGTCGGCTCGTTTTGCGCCGGGGGGATGGCCTGGGGCGGAGATATGAGTTAGGCGTCCCGGGTTGCCATAGCGGCGGCGGGACCTAACACTAATGCGCAACCGCTGTATTTTCGCGAATGCGTAGTTGAAGTCCACACTGCAGACGGGCATCTAAACACACTCAGGTGTTGGGCGTCCCATCGGCGGTGGGTGCTATTTAAGAGGGGAGGGCGGGAGGGATGGACAATGGAGGCAGTTGCGGTGCCACAGAAGCGAAAGAATATAGAGGGCTATATAAGCGGATGGACTTGATGCATCTTTTAGTCTATTGACCTTTGGATCTCCTTGACTTGAACTGACAAGTATGTGGACTTCTCTGAGAACAGTGAGGATAAATGACATGGCAGCGATATCAGCAAGGATTAATTGTCTATAGAGACACTAGGGAATCAGTGGAGCAACACATGGTCAACACTGATGGGGGTTTGCTGTGCGAATGGATTTTGTTTGACCCCATGGGAGGCATCTATATCTGTGTAGAAAGGGAGAGGAGGAGGGGAGGGAAGATTCTCATGGGGATGTTGAGATGGGCACATTATAGAGACAAACAGGGGGTTAATCACCTGTCACAATTGAGCAAATATAATCCGCATAAGCAGGATTGTGTTTCACTTATTTTCAATGCATCTTTCACTTTACTATATTATCATGATTATTTTTATACCACGCACTTACAGTAATTAGTACATTTGTAAAAATTGAATATCAGAAGGAGTATACACTCTTCCCCTTATCTAATATTTGAGACTTATACACAGACTTAATCACTTTCAAAAAAATGTTGTATCACTTATCTGAACAATGGGACATTATCACTGAGAAATTTATTGTAATAGACTCACATATGGTCATACAGTATAGATGGCATATAAGTTCACTACTGTACACGCTACATCAAATGATGTTTGGGCTCCCACCTATGCAGCATCCATTACTATGGACACGCATACATGCACATATGTGGATGTGAGAGCGCATGGTGGGATATATGACTCCATACATATGAATTTAACAGCAAAACCAATTCTTCAGCACAGGCGACCCTCTATCTTCATCCATTCCTGGAGTCCCCTCTCTCGTGGCCCCAGGGCCCCCAGACTGACCCCTGGACGGAGTGGTTACGTCGGGATTTTAATCCCTGTCTACACTCGATCTAGGGAACCCTGTCTATATCCAAACATCTCATTGGGTCGTAAGTGATAGGCGGTTGTGGTGTAGGGGTGACGGTGGTGATGGGGCTCTCTCTGCCCGGCATAGCCGCCAGGAGCACATTTCTTTCTAGTGACTAATTGAGGAGACTGCAAAATGGATCCATGTATTACATTACTCAGATGAACTAATCTAAGATAAAAGCAATATCAGTCATACACAGAGTGGCCCTAGATGATATCAATCTGTACATGTCACTGCTTACTCCAGACCTCTGTCTAACTAGAAGCATTCTGCCAAGAAAGAAAGCCCATACATAGGAAAGCACTGGAGATTGAATCTGTCTTTTCTGCTAGGATTTCTCATAACGCAGCCAGGAGACTTCGGTTAACCGTTTTGTGACCATTTTTTTTTTTTACGCTTAGATGCCCAGTCCAAGTTTAGCAACGTCAGTATGCATTAGTTAACCGACAATAATGAATGAGAAATAAGAACACACAAATGCGCATTCCTAGTTCTTTACTGCATGATTAATTATTGTTCTTACGGGAAGGGGCATTTTTCATGGGGATTTAAAGAGGTTTATTGCAGTTGAAAAGATGTTAAAATACTTAAAAACTTGATTCCGATAACACAATCCTTGACACCAACAAAGATACCAGCCATTTTTTCTCGTACTAGATAATGACTAGACAACCGACTATTTAAATATTTTCTTCTTCGTTTGAATTGTTTTCTAACTCTCCATGGAACTTAATGTTATTGTATACTTATCTTTTGTATAATTTCTCTATATCAATATAATAAAACTGTTAATAAAAAAAAAACTAAGATACTAACCAGTCTTTGACATTAAAAGGGTGCAAGACATTATCATGTTGGGTTACTGGTGCAAAGAATTTACCCAACAACAATATTGTGATTACTGTCTTTTCTCTTGCTGGTAAGAACAAAACGAGAGTCCTACTCCATCAGCGTTTTCCACAGAGTTAAAATGTAAAATGCCCTTACACTGGGTGGATAATGACTAGGGTGGTAGAAGTCTCTCCCCACCCACGGATTAACTCTTTGTAGCCTCTTTACTGACCCCCAAATCTTTAATTCATTTGAATGAATTTCCTAGACCAGGGCTAGCCAAATGACAGCCCTCTAGCTGTGGTGAAATGAGTCGTCTCATAAGGCATTGCAAGACTCTGACAGTCACAGCCATGACGGGATTTGCAGTTTCACCACAGCTAGAGGGCTGAAGTTTGACTACCCCGGTCCTACACTATACTGGTTTCCTTGTTTTGGTCAGCTGAAAATGTCTCACTCTCTGAAGGTGTTTTTCCCTGAAAGCAGAAAATCCTTTAGGTATTTATTTTTACTCTGCATATATCTTCTTTCACAGCAGTTTTGCAAAGGAATTATCACATACTTTCCATAACAACTGGCGCAGCAAAGCTTATTACTGAGTCTCTCACTAATTAAACCGACTTACACTTTGCTGCTCATCACAGGGTTGTTGAATGGAATGCGTGTGATGAACGGCAATCAATGACAAAGCATAGTACCGGTTACAGAACCATGTTGCAAATCAAGGCTATATAATGATGGCACTATTTAAGAAGGTTGATCAAATAATTAAGACCTTAAATAACTACACATTTGAAACTTGAAACATTGAAGCACTAAAATACATCAATGAGAAAATGTTTTTCAGAACCGCCATCATATACTTTTTTACCCGTTGATCCTGCTAGTAGATTAGCTGATTTTCCACTACCTTTAACAGGGTGTGAGTGCTGTTCATTCTGCAGTATTCTCACCTTGTGGACAGGTTCGTTTTAGGTGGATGTTGAACCGAAACTCCATGATTTTGAAAAGTTAACGCTTGCAGTGGAGCTACTCCCGCACTGCAAGAGTTAACGGCTCAATTTGCCTAGGGGGGCAAAAATAAAGAAGAAATACTCCCCTGAGCCTTGGTCGGTCTGGCTGCTAAATCGGTTCTTACAGCCTTTTCTCTCCTGGCTCTGGCAGTCTAAGGACCGGTCTAATACATACTGCACATACATACATACATACATACATACATACATGAAGACAAGGAGGGACATACTATAGCCGGAGTAGAGGGGGAGAGAGAGGTGAAAGGTCAGTGCCGTAAGACCAAGGATCTTTATTTTCACCCATCAAGAAAACACAATCAGTTAATCCTTGCAGTGTAGGGGTAGCCCCCACTGCAAGAGTTAATTTTTCAAAATCATGGAGTTCTTAAAGTTAATGACAAACACATTAAAGTCTAACTTCAGCTAACACTTTTAAAACAGTTACACCAGCAGTTGTTTTTGATCTTGGGGAAAAAAGGTTTAACCCTTTTGCTGCCACTGACATACACCATACGATCTGTGCTTGATCAGCTTCAATGAGCTGCAAAGGTGACAATTAGGGGTCTAATAGACCCCTAATGTCTCCATAAAAAGGACCGGTCACCAGTAACATGCTGTCACATAGGAAGCTTGTGTCCAGAGTTTGAGCAATCATTCTAGGGCCACTATTCATAGTTAACACTACACTGATGACCTGTAAAAGCTTTTAAAGCGTCGCCCATGGAAATTTTGGCTACTGTAGTTTTTTTGACATTTGATGAGCGCACACAATTTTTAAGCTTGACCTGTTTGGCAACTATTTACTTGGTGCAACCTCTTCTCTTATATTTTACCGAAACTCGGTAATATATGGTGTCTACCTGCACTAAAATTACCTCCAAATGTATTTTTATTTTCACAGAAAATCTGGGTTTACTAAATAGCTGTGCTAATATCATGCATCATAAAAAATTGCAACTGCCACCATTTTATTCTACAGGGTCTCTGCTTTCAGGATATATATAATTCTGTGGGGATTAGGTAAACGTCAGGCCTACCATGTGCATTTTAACATGTATGCAAAAAAACGGAGCGGCTCCGGCAGCAAAAGGGGCTAAACCGTGTAAATAAAAAGGTAAGCGCTATAGGAACCCTGTCCATATCAACAGTTTGTCCCAAATACTGTCACAGTTGCTGGACAGTTTGGTTTGCATATACATCGGGGAGCAATACTAACAAATCCATTAATAAAAAATGGAATTAATTAATTCAATCATTACCAATATTAGCCACATACATTATTTTTTTTTCTCTACAGTGGGTCTTTAAATATAATGGTTATGTCACATAAGTGGAATGACTGTGCTCCCATGTGATTTTCAGATGTTGTCACTTGCTTTAAATTCATCACGTCAGCCTATGTATTGGTTGTAGGCTAAATACTTCCATTATAATATCAGAACAGAAATTTAAAATGGGGATTATTTCAAAACATCTTGTGATCTAAGATCTGCCTCAAGTTTGACTCCATACATGACTTGGTGACTAATATAAGTGACAGATTAAAGAGCACAAGGAGAGCACACAATTCAGCATTGCTGCGGCCATGCTATGCTCTATAAAGGTTTCAAATCATGATAATGAGATTTGTTCATAAAATAAAGTTCTCACCATGTTCTGATTGATCATGTGCCTGAAGCATGTGATGTACACTACAAAGGGCCAGTCATCGGGTTCCATCACTACCCCCGCAGCATGGGCGCAGGTGACGTGGAAGGATGTGGGACAGCGGCCATATGAGCACTGGATGCAAGCTCCTTGAGCATTCTTAACCCTTTGTCTGCAGAAAACACATTTCTGTGGGAGAGAGTAAGAAGATTAGTTACAATATGGCATTTCAACAAATATATACTATATAGCCCTATATGTACCCATACAGTAACTCCTATTATTTTAGCAATAAACCTTTATTTACATTCAAACTATTTTCAGCAATAGTCTCTATAAAGGTGCCCATACACTGCACGATTCTCGTACGAGAATCGTGGGAAATCCCGCGATCGTACGAGAATCGTGCAGTGTATGGAAGGCGTGCGACCGTTTCTACTGTACGGTCGCACGTCTTCCGTCGAACCAGCAGGCTAGAAAACCCGCCGGGAATCGTACGATTCTCGGCGAGTGAGTGGCCTGCTGGTTCGACAACTGACGAACGGGCCGGTGTGCGCACGCGTTTGCCGTCCTTGCAAGTCCGCCCCTCATTGCAAGCCCGCCCCTCAAGGTGGCGGGCTTGCGATGGTCACAAGTACGATCTGCCTGTCCAAGATGGGCAGATCGTACGTTTTTTTAAGTACTTTACAACCATCACAAGACTAAGGTCTTGCGATGGTTGTACAGTGTATGGCCACCTTAACTCTAAAACTGGAGAAAGGCAAATTAGTATTTTGCATACAATACACATGCAGTCATTTACTTCTTATCAGCTGCCTGGCAAGGCAGAAGCTGCAAAGTCTTTAGGAGTATACAGGTGAAACTCGAATAATTAGAATATCGTGCAAAGTTCATTTATTTCACTAATGCAACTTAAAAGGTGAAACTAATATATGAGATAGACTCATTACATGCAAAGCAAGATAATTCAAGCCGTGATTTGTCATAATTGTGATGATTATGGCTTACAGCTCATGAAAACCCCAAGAACCCCAAATCCACAACCTCAAAAAAGTAGATTATTACATGCAATCAATAAAACAAGGATTGTACATAGAACAATATCGGACCTCTGAAAAGTACAAGCATGCATATGTACTCAGTACTTGGTTTGGGCCCCTTTTGCAGCACTTACTGCAATTACTTTTGCATGATATTCTAATTATTTGAGTTTCACCTGTAGGTTCATGAATCTATAGCTAAGCTTGACAACATGCTGCCATTAATTTATATCCCTGGAGCCCAAAACGTGGTCTGCCAGCTTTCTGTATGTGGCCTGCCGTTACTATTTTACAGTAACACATGCTGATATTTTTGCGGTCTCTGACATCGGTGCTGGGAGTCATTATTGTGGCCACTGAAAGAAATTGCCAGGGGTTGTTATTGTAGCAACTGACACCAATGCTGGGAGTTACAATTACTGCCACTGACAAATGATAGGGCTTACTTTACACCTTTTTTCTCTATAGTGTGTGGCAGTACATTCCAAAACTTGCAGCAAGACTGAAATGTTTGGTGCATTACAACCCATTCATTTTGAATGGGCTGCCTATCTCAACACAATGAACTTCAAAACATGATGCCATTGTGTGGCCCACTAGGAGTGTCAGGGGTCACACTTGAGCCCCTCGATGATTTTCAAGTTGACCACCACTGCTTTATGAACTTGGTGGTATTTATTAAAATAACATAGCTAAAGGAGTGTTTCTGTATCTTTTGTGTAATCTACAGTTTTGGCTGGCCTATATGTAAACGGTTATGAGAGACTGCAATTTCATGCATCTTTTTTGATGTCTTAGAGATTTTGTTGTTCAATTTTGAAGAATTTGGCGTTAATTTGAACTTCAGGCAAACAGTTGAATACACAGCTGAACTACATATATGGGAGCTATTTTACCAAAGTGTATGTACTTCTTTCCATTCATTTAAAGATTCACACTGTCCTGCCATACAGTGCTTGCTTTTAATCTGCTGAATTTAAGTAACACTTTCAGTTCTTGACCCCCCGGCCTTTGACTGGACAGTGAATAGAGGAGCAGCGTGTCCCTAGGTAGTAAAACACCATTGCAACACAACTGATTGGCCCCTTGTTCTGTTTCTCCCTTTCCCAGTCCAAGCTCTGACACAGAGTCAAATGTAGGTGATTACACTGCTGGCATTACAAAAATACATTTAATAGTATATTAATAAATACAGGGCTCCAATAATTTGTGTCTCTTATCCACCTGGAGATAGGGTTTAAAAGAGAACTATGAGGTGAGTGCTTTTCACTCATCCTCATAGTTCTAGCCGACCTGTAACAATGAGACTGTCACAGGTCGGCTCAGTAGATCGGGAAGTGAGCGAACACATACCGGCGTTCGCTCACTTGTCGATCCTGTCACGGCAGAGGGCCGTGACAGGGGAGGGACTGGATTCCCCCCTTCCCGCTCCGATCCTCCAGCGCTGACTGGCGGAACCGACAGGAGAGGGGGCGGGTACAGCTGGCTCTGCCTCTAGATAGGCAGAGCCGGCTGTCATTCACGCAGCTGGGCGGATCCAGACAGAATCGTCGGGATCTGTTTCAGCTGCGGCGTCTCAGTATACCGCGAGCTGTAGCTCAGGTATACTGAGCTTAGGGTGATGGGAAGCCCTAACCCCATAGTTCTCCTTTAACAGAACAAATGGATCAAGCTTGAACACAATACTATGTTTGTATTCCATTAAAGGGTATATATATAAAGCAGTGAATGTTACATTCACTAATCATTCATTGCTGGTGTATCTTCACAGTGCATGTTTTGAATCCGTGGTTCTCAACTGGTGGGTGGCAACCCTGTGTTCAGTGGGTCTCCGTGTGCCTTCCACTGTGCTAGGTGAAAGGCTCCTCAGCCTCTCCCTAGTGCAGCACTGTCAGTTCTCACGCCGAGCATCCATTCTAAATATGCTGCCCAGCGCTGTGTCAGCTTGAAGTGGGGTGGGGTGGGATGGGGGTATGGCGGAGCTCCATCTATACACACATTGCATATAGCTCCCTTGAGTGACCTGTAGAGGTGCTTGGACCAGAGTGATGTCAAATTCTGACTCCGCAAGGGAGCTGTAAAAGCAATGCACATATGGATGACGGTGCGTCAGAGCACAGCAGCCCACACTAAACCAAAGGCTGAGGATCGACTCTGGTACTCATAAGGTAGGGATACTGGGTAGATCTTTAAAAAAAAAAAATTTCTTGGAGTGTGTATGTGTGTGAGAATGTGTCTGTGGTTGTGTGTGTCTGTCAGTTTTCTGAGGGCCGTTCACACTAATACAGTGCGTTAATTGCGCAGTCCCGTGCGATTAACGCACTGTGCCACAAAATCGCACCTACCTCACGTTCTGGTGCAGGAGGTGCGTTGCTATTCATTTGAATGGCACCCCAAATGCACCTACCACCCACAGTTCGATCACCCACATTGGAACGCGTAGTACCGCAATGCCATGTGTTCCTGTGCGGTGCGACTTGGGATGAAACTTAATGACCAAGGACAAATGTGGGTCCTGAGGTTACACAGGTTGAGAATCACTGTTCTAAATGAGTGATTTATTCACCTGCAGTTAATATGTTTGGTAAGCGCTAGTACAATGCTCAAAATCAACTATAACCTTGAACAATATCTTATGTCATAAACTCCTTAGTGCAAAAAGATTGTGTACTAATTGAAGACCACTACACCAAACATTCTACTTCAGCTTTAGGCAGAACAGGATTACTAGTTATGCAAGAAAGTATCTGCCTAGGGCCCAAGTCTGCTTGGACATAACTAAAGCTGGCCATACACCTTACAATTATCTGCAGATTTTCTGTGGTCAGATGGAAAAGGTGCAACAGATTCCTCCATCTACACTTAACTGTGTGGCTGGAGTCATCTCCACCTGGGCCAATCTGTTGCACTTTTTCCATCTGACCACAGAAAATCTGCAGATAATTGTAAGGTGTATGGCCAGCTTAAGGCTTGGGCTTACTCTGGAGACTTTTTGCTATACATACACTTTCACTGTTGTGCCCCCAGCTGTTCAATAAACAATGGTCATGTTTATTACAATGAGAGGGGAGAGAGAGACAGAGGCGTTAGGAAGAGACTGCTATGTGTGTGAGATAGGCTGCCCAGTGACAGATTTTACTGTAGTCTTGCTACTGCTTTTAACATACTGTATAGGTGGTTTAGTGGTTGGGATTACTTTTGCCTCTGAATTATATAATTTGGTTATTCTATGCAGGTGTCTCCCTTCTAGCCATTCTTTCTGTGGCACAATGACACATTCCCACTCCTGGACCAATCAGTTGTGGCAGAGGGAATTCTGCACCCCTTTGCAACATGTAGCTTTGGAGTAGAGCATGCCCCAGTCACAACTGATTCGGCCAGTAGGGGAGTGCGTTAATGGCAGTTTAGCGCAGGCTCAAAACAGACCACCCCATATGGAGTTTTCTCCTCAACTCTTGTTCTGGGGACAACTCTAAGCTTTTAGATGTCTCCTTACTTTCTATATCGGTGACAATAGTCACCGATACAAACGGAGAAGTGAATCTCCCTAATGGGGACACAGACAGCGATAAAAACTTGACAGAGGTTTTAACCTTGCACAGCTCTATCAAAAAGAAAATTTTAAATTGTACCTCTAGGCAAATGTTTTGTTTTTGTTTTATTTTTACCAAGGGGAGAAAAATCCATGCGCTTATGTACAAAGATATGCTGCTTTGAAAAATACACAACATTCTCATAAAACAAAGTCCACTATTGTCTTATTAAAGCTAGATGTGCATCACGTTAGCTGGTAGGTATACAATAGTAGGAATAGTTAAACTTTCTTAAGAAATGAAGTCCAAATTGTAATTGTATGCGTGTTCTTACATTTTCTAAGTGCTTCTTATTCTAAAGTTTTGATACACAGCATGCCTTGTGATAGTTTGACATATTTCTGTGTAAAAATGGATTTCTATTGTATAACTGCATAGAAAAATGCTGATTTAATGTGGTCTTTCTGAACAATCAACAATGGCAAAGATCTGCTGGCAGCAGCATTTTCTTCTTTACACAACTAAGATACCACGTTGCTGCCATCCTCACAATATTTAGTTGCCACTCTGATGAGCTTTCACATTCTCAGAAACTTTGCATCTCATTCAAAAGTCA